GTGACTTCATTCATAATGGCCAAAACCAAGACCCACCCCATGTCCATCAAGGTTGAATGGATAGCGGATGCAGTAAGGCCGTAAAGGAACCCTGAACCCCAGCCAGAAGGAGGCACAGACACAGCATCAAAAGTTCCCTGCCACAGAAAGAAGCTGAAGTTCTAGAACAGGCAATGGTAGGAAAAATCAGAATGGGGGCCTGGGGCTGGGGCCTTCTGAGATAACACGATGTTCTAAATCACAGAGGGGGGTCAGTCTGCACGGAGGCCCCTGTCTTGATTCATCACATATTGTACTGGAAATCTGTGAATTTCACTGCAGGTAAATAAGCTGAAGCGGTTAGCAGGAGGGGCCGATGCCTACATCTAAATTTGAATTGTAAAGAAGCACTTTGAGGTGGGATAACACAGGGACAGAAGGGTGGCCAGGTGGCCAGGTGCATGACACACAGGGCAAAATGTTCCATGCCGACCTTGGGGCAGATACATAAATGTTCTCCATAGACATCTTTTGACTTGTCTGATGTTTGGAAAGACACTGGGGAATGACGAGAGGTATTTAAATATAGACAGGTCTAGGGAACGGGATGGACGGTGTGTGTTATAGGTGGAATAGAGGCTGAAACAGAATGCTTCTTAGCCTGGTAGAGAGAAAGATCCAGACATCGTGAGAACAATCACAGAAGTCTGATCACCTTTAAATACACCTTTATTTAACTCCTTGCGTTCAGATCCACATACTAATGTATTTAAAGGTGTCATGCCTGAAATATGCTCCAAAATACCTCAGAGGAAAAACATGGAGCTAATATTGCAAAGTGCTCCTTCTTATGGCCCCGTGGTGGACCTATGAGCCGTTGAAATTGTTTTCCTTCTGTTTGAAATTTTTCACAAAACCAAGAAGACGACATGCTCCATTGAGAAGCTGGGAGTTACAGGTAACGTGTCCCCTCTTCCCTGGTCAGGGCTCATCCTTACATTCAAAAAGTTACATCCATGATAGTGATGGAGACACTGGTTAGCAATGAATCTGGTCATGTCAGAAGGGCACAGAGACCAAGTGATGACCAAGTGAGCCAGGGAGAGGACAAAGAGCTGGAGGGGAGGATGGGTGGCTGGGATGGAGGGAGTTCACCAGGACCAGGACTTCGGGCGGGACCTTTGCAGATCTTGTTTCTAGTGTCATCGGGTGCCCCTCTGCAAAGTCAAGATCCAGATGGTGCATGTCACACCCCATCAGACTCAAGTTCCCTCCCACCTCTCCCCCAACCTGCCTTCTGCTAACCACAGAGGGCCTGGGCTCAGAGTCTGCGCACTTAGTCTCTGAAGAGCCTCCTAAACCGTCCAGGGGAAGCCCCTTCTGATCCCTTCCATTCCCTACAGCCAAGTCCTGATGGTGTTGCTCCCTGTGCCTGTGGGCTGGAGTTTGGTTTTACTGCTGGGCACAGAGCCTTGTGAAAGGGAGAAAGCAAGCCCCAGGCTTCAGGGCCCGGCTGGCTCAGAGCTCTGGGCCCAGCATTTACTCCAAGGGGCCTGGGGACATACCCTTCACCTTCTGCTCCACAGGTTCCTCTCCTGCCTGAGTCTGTGATCTGGATTGAATATCACCACAGCTTGGTGCCTGCCACAGTCAGAACACGCTCATGGTTTCTGGTCTTGTCTGTCCACAGTCCACACCACAGTAGAGCACTTAAGGCCCCTCCTTTACTCCCTAACCACCTCAACCAGGGACTTTTTTTTTTTTTTTTGGTAATAGGGATTGAACCCAAGGGCACTTAACCACTGAGACCTCTTTTGTATTTTATTTAGATACAGGGGTCTCAGGGCCTCGATGAATTGCTAAGGCTGGCTTTGAACTCATAATCCTGCCTCAGCCTCCCGAGCTGCTGGGATTATAGGCACGCACTACTGCAAGGCACTTGACCAGGCACTTCTAACTCCAGCAGTACTCAGGGACTTGCAGATCACTAGATGTACACTGTGACAATATGTTGTAATTCTTCCTGTAAATTAGCACTTGTCAGGACGTGGGGTCCATAAAGTTATAGGGTTAGCATCCCCTGGGAGCCTGTTAGAAATCTCAGAACCAGTGAGTTAAAACCTCAGGTGTGAGGCCTAGAGAGCCTCCCAGAGGATTCTGATGCACTCTTAATTTTAGGAACCACCCCTCCTTTCTTCCGCTTTAAGTGTGCTTTCTTGCTGTACCTGTCAAGCAAATTCCTGTGTGTCCCTTAAAACCCTTTTGCAGGAAGCCTCTCCTGGCTCCCATAGCCCTAGATAGGGTAAATCTTTCTCATCTCTCAATTAAGGTTGTCTTTGATCAGACTTCTGTGATTGTTCTCACGATGTCTGGATCTTTCTCTCCACTAGGCTAAGAAGCATGTCCTTGTTCTGTTTCAGCCTCTAGCAAGGTAGCTTTCACTCCTTTGGGGTCTAAACCCAGAAGTGCAATCCCTGGACCACACAGTAGTCTCAGAACACCTGGGCTTTAGTTAGCTTTGCCCTGTGGCCTCTACGAGTCACCACTTTCCAGATCCTGTGCATTCCCGGGCTGGGGAATCCATCCCTGGAATGGCTGGGAGCATCCCAGTGATGAGCATATGCAGGCAGCAGCATGCACTTCTGAACCAGAATAGCGTCTGGGAAGCTCTGCCTGCTGCTGCCCCGTGGGGAAAAGAGGCTGAGGACTGTTTCCAACCACAGAAGGCGCTGAACTGTCCCTGGCTCGAGGTGGAAACCTGTCCTCCTAGGCCAGGAAGTCGGGGGCCATCTCTGTCCTGTGGCATTCTTAGTGGAACTTTCTTGTCACTGACCAGCTTCTCAGGAAAAAGAGAATGAAGACCATCTTGCTTTATTGAAACGCATGCCCGGAGGGCAGGACAGGCCTAAAGAATCTCTTCACTGAGGTGATTCCTGGTGCTCTTCATGCAGAGTTTTTGAAACACTGCCACCAGTGGTGTCACGGCTGTTTGAGGGTCTGAACCTATCTTTTCAGGCCACAGCACTGAAGCAATGGTTTGTACTTAGTGATGCACACACTATCAATCCTCGTTTTATATTTTCCCATAGAAATGTCCGATGCAATCCATGGCGCCCTAATTTTCTATCATACTACTTCATGCAAAGTCAGTCTTATTGGTGGGGCTGGAGCTCCGTGGCAGAGCACTTGCCTAGCACACGTGAGGCACTGGGTTCAATCCTTAGCACTATATAAAAATAAATACAATAAAGGCATGCTGTTCATCTACAATTGCAAAAAAAAGAAAAAGAAACTTTTTTTTTAAAAAAGTAAGACTCATTAGCATTTTTTTTTTTTTAGTTGCAGATGGGACACAACATCTTTATTTATTTAGTTTTATGTGGTGCTGAGGATTGAACCCAGGGCCTCACACATGCGAGGCAGGCGCTCTACAACTGA